GTGTGTTGTCAACCTGTGGAACACCTTGCCAGAGGAGGCTGTGAAGGCTAGGACTATAATAGAGTTTAAAGAGAAGCTGGATAAATTCATGGAGGTTAGGTCCATAAAAGGCTATTAGCCAGGGGATAAAATGGTGTCCTTGGCCTCTGTTTGTCAGAGGCTGGAGAGGGATGGCAGGAGACAAATCGCTTTATCATTGTCTTCCGTCAACCCTCTCTGGGGTACCTGCTGGCCACTGTCGGTAGACAGGATACTGGGCTAGATGGACCTTTGGTCTGACCCAGTACGGCCATTCTTATGAATTTGTTTAGTTTTATTATTTTTGTACTTTTTACACCCAAAAATTTCACCACCTGCCCGGCTACAATTTTGTTTAAACAAATGTGCTTCAACTATAGAAAAAAGTTGTTTATGTCTGAAAAGTAAGTATTGGGGGTACTTTTTTTTTTTTAAAGGGTCACGTTATTTAAAAAAAAAAAGGGTTGAGAAACACTGTGCTAGACAATTCCTAGATTCCAAGGACAGAAGGGACCATTGCTATCATCTCATCCAATCGTCTATATAAACACTGACGTTCCTCTACATAATTCCTAAAGCAGATGTTACAAAATCCAGTGTTGATTTTAAAATGGTCAGTGATAGAGAATTCACCATGACCCTCGGTAAATTGTTCCAATGGTTAATTACTTTCAGTAAAAAATTGACATCTTTCAGTATGAATTTGTCTAGCTTCAACTTCTAACCATTGGCTCGTGTTATACACTTTTCTGCTAGACTGAAGAGCCCATTATTAAATATTTGTTTCCCATGTTGATTCTTATAATCATGTCAACCCTTAATCTTCCCTTTCAGATATATTTAAATTGAACACTTTGAGTGTTACCATAGCCATAGTTTTAACCCTTTAATCATTTTCATAGCTGTTTTTTCTGAACCTCCTCTAATTGATCAATATCCTTCTTAAATTGTGCGCACCAGAACTGGACAGAGTATAGCAGCAGTAGCTGTGCCACTGCAAAATAACCTCTCAGTTCATTCCTCTGTTTGTTAATCCAAGTATTGCATTAGCCCTTTTGTCCATAGTGCCACATTGGGAGCTTATGTTCAGCTGATTATCCACCAGAATCGCTAACCTTTTTCCAAGGTCACTTCTTCCCAGGATAGAGTCCCCCCCCATCATTTAAATAACATGCAAGTCCAGCCTACATCCTTTTAGGTTTTCTTCCAGAGCAAAGAAGGGACACTGTCTAGATAAAATTCCATTCTTCCCTTCACCAGTTATATCTGTTACTAATATGACCAGGGCTCGACAAATAATGCAATCTACTCGCCCATGGCGAGTAGATTGCAACCTGGAAGAGCCAGGTTCGGGCGATCTGTGCATGCTTGCGAGCGGCTTGCAAGCAGGGCTTGCCACAGTTTGGCGAGCCCTGAATATGACCAACATAAATTATTAATGCTGAAAAAACATTTTGAAATCTGATAATTTTTCGTCATTTGTTTATTTTTTGCAATTCACTAAAGCCCAACACAGTGAAACTCTAGTTTGCCAATTTCACTTTCAGTCATTCAAACACTAGAAGAATGCTGAGGTGTTTGGATTCCATTCAATGAACGGGAACAGCTTAAAGCCAGAAACATATTTCTCTGCAATTTATTAAACAAAAAATCCCAAGAAAGCATTTCTGTTGAAAGCTGAGTTTTTAAAAATCTAACTAAAGCTAGATGCTGGTCAAAGAATTTTACGTAAGATTTTTTTTTCCATTATATGATACGTGACCAGAGAAAACTGAAAAGCAATTTTACTAATTCGCATTAAGCAAAGTTAAATGAGAAAAAGAATCACCAAAATCTCTCTTACTTGTGATATTTTATTGTCATCTATTGTAAGACGTTGTAATAAAGGAAACATTTTAGTCTTGCATCCTAGGAAAAGAAAAACATATTTAGAAGACATCCGTGAAGATCTAAAATACAGAAATTTAATACAATGTGTACTTTACTTACCAAATACAACATCAGGAAAGCATATAGAAGAAATTCCAGTATTTGAAAGAATTAGTTGTTCTAATCTGAAATTCAGACATTCAAGTAAGTCCGTTAAAAAGATTTTTATAAAAATACTGACGTTTTTACATGATACAACTCCTTTTAAGCCCTTTGACACCACGCCTTGTGATTTAAAAGAACATTGTTATGAACTTCACAGCTGGTAACCAACGTTTAAAAGGCATTTAGGAAAGGGCAGCAATGCAGATGCAAGCTTTCAAAATAACAGCTTGCTTTGAGGGTACTAATCTTTAAATGGCTTGATTTTTGTTTAAAATAATTTATTACTCCTTTACGGCCCAGTATTTTTTCCCTAAATCATATATGCAATTGCAAAATGGCATTTCATGCCAGCTCAGCACAGTAAGTACTAAGATGTTATTACAAAAGACCACTAAGCTTTTCAGAAAAGTGGAAAAATTCTTAAAGCATGCACTACAGCAGGGGTTTTCAAAGTTAGGTCGCAGGCCCAGCCAGGGATACAAGAGCTTTGTTTATATAAGCATCTGTAGGCTTGGAGCCTCACAGCCACCACTGGGAAGATGTGGGAAGCGGAAACCTGCCAGGACACCCCACCGGTGATACCTGACTACTACACCAGGCACCCTAGAATGTGGGGGAGGGAAGAGGAGGGAGGGAAGAGTCAAGAGCAGGCCTGAACTCAACTCCCAGGGTTGTCTCTAGAACAGAAGGCTGTCATTCCCAGGGCTATGATTGCTGAACAGGGGGATTGTAATATGCTACTTGTCCTTGCTCCCCCCTTAGGCTCATGCCCTGAATTCCTTTTCTATTTAGGAAACAGAGCAGAGAGAGAGAGTGTGTGATTTCTGAACAGCAGGATTTTTATTGCTTGTGTTCTTTTGGGGAGGAGAGGGGGCTGGAAGAGGACTTACAGGCCAACATGCTTAATACATGGAGCACCTTATTAAGAACTACATACACAACTGCAATATCACTGTCTGGTTATTCATTTAACTGGTTTTCAAAGCCTCTCTGATTTGCTGTGCTCCTCAATGTGCTCTCCTTATTGCCCTGGTATCTGGCTGCTCATATTTAGTGGCTAGGCTATTAGCCTCAATTCCCCCCCACCCCGATTCCACCAGAATATTTCCCCCCCTTACTTTCACAGATATTATGGAGCACACAGCAAGCTGCCACACCAATGGGAATGTTGCTTTTGTTGAGGTATAACCTAGTCAATAAATTGCTAAACCTTTCCTTTAAACATCCAAAAGCATATTCTACCACCATTCTGCATTTGCTCAGCCTGTAGTTGAACTTCTCCTGATTGCTGTCCAGGCTGCCTGTGTATGGCATCATGAGCCACATGAGCATGGGGTAACCTGTGTCTCCAAGGATAACTATAGGCATTTCAACATCTCCAATGGTAATTTTCTGCTGTGGGAGGAAAATTTAATCTTGCAGCTTTTTGAAGAGGCAAGCATTCCTAACGATGCACCTTTCTCAACCATCCCATGTTGATGTCTGTGAAATGGCCCTTGTGATCCACCAGGGCCTGAAATGCCATAGAGAAGTACCCCTTGCGGTTTCTGTACTCTTGGGCAAAGTGGTCAGCTGCTAATAGAGGGAATTACATTCCATCTACTGCCCCACCAGAGTTAGGGAACCCCATATCGGCAAAGCTATCCACGATGTTCTGCATGTTTCCCAGAGTCACTATCCCGCTGAGCAGAAGGGTATCGATTGCCTTGGCTATTTTGAGCACAGAAGCCCGCATTGCAGATTTACCCTCTCCGAACTGATTCCCAACTGATGGGTAGCTGTCTGGTTTTGCAAGTTTCCATAAATCTATTGCCACTTGTTTCTCAACTGTCAGAGCAGGTTTCAGTCTGGTATTGGTGCACTTCAGGGTGGGGAAAAGCAATTTACAAATTTCAGTGAAAGTGGCCTTATTCATGCTAATTTTTGCAGCCACTGCTCATTGGCCATAGCTGCATAACTATGTGGTCCCAGCAGTCTGCGCTGGTCTCACGGGACCTGAACCAGCGTTCCACTGCGTCATCAGAATCGACTGCCACGAGTACATGCCAATTGCTTCACTCTACGGTTTCATGCACATCTGTCTGTGTTGCTGCCTCACATTCTTGCTCCGGCAGCTCCTAGCTAGGCTCTGGACATACTGCAGCATAACGCGCAAGGTGTTTGCAATGCTTGCCATAGCAGTTTGAAGCTCAACAGGACCCATGTTTGCCCTGCTATGGCATCTGCATGTATACCAGGGGGAAAAGGGCACAAAAAAATTGTTTGCCATTCCTTTCAAGTGGTGGGGAACGGAGAGAAGAGATAAGTGCACTATGGGAAGCTGGCGACATGTATTCATGCCACCAACTGCAATATTTCTGTCCCATCAGCCACTGGGAACCTAAACATGAATGCAAAGGGGCAGCAGGAACTGTAAGATAGCTACCCACAGTGCATTGCTGTCAGAGTCAAAGGTACCCATCCTACTAGGGATGCACACTATTGACCTCATTTGCACAGTGAGAATATACAAACTTTACAAACCTGAGTGCTAAAAAATTAACCTTAATACACTCATTCTAATCTAGTTGTGTAGACATGGCTTTAATACCAAAAGAGAGCATCCACCCAGGGAAGAACTGCAATACTTACACTATCACAGGTATGTTGGTAAATTTCCTAGTGTGGACAAACTCTTAGGCTTGGTCTATACTTAAAACCTGTATTGGCATAGCTGCTGTGGGATGTGAAACTCTATGCTCCTGATTAATACAGCTCTGCTGACAAAATCCCCACTGCAGAAGCAGAAATACTGACAGATGAGGGCTTCTGTTGATATAGGTAATGTCACATGGGAAGACAGTGTTTCTATACCAGCAGAAAACTTTCTGTTGGTGTAAGCTACATCTCTACAAGGGAGTTATGTTGACTTAGCTGTGATGACAAAGGCTTGGTAGTGCAGCCACAATCCTAGTGTTAACTGAGGAGAGGAACAAGGAGGTGGGTGTAAGTACTTTCTTCCATGCCATTTTAGGTATTAAAAGTGAGGCTCTGCCTCCACTCTGATCACCTTTTTTTTTTTTTTTTTTTTTTAAAGACAAAGGCTATGTCTACACTGCATGGCTCCAGTATTCCAAAAAACTACCCCGAGTCTACACAAGCCACCTCTTATTTTGAAATATTTTTCAATAGGTGCACTATTTCACTATCCCGATAAACCTTGTTGCATGAGGGTTAAGGGATGGCTCGAAATGGTGTGTTATTTTGAAACAGATTCGAAATAGACAATTGGCGTTGCACAAATTGCATATCTTATTTTGAATTTAGGGTGCTATGTAGAAACACACCCTAAAGGAGAGAAGACAGGAATAATCTGTGTGTGAGATCTTTCCATCTCCATGGCTAATAGACAAGAGATGCCAGCCAATTAAACCTCTCTGGTTGACTGCATGTCTATCATGGTATTAACTATTCAGCATGCTGCCCAATATCATTCTCCAGAATCAGTCTGACATATAGGAAGTGTGTGATCATATGCAGTTATTTAATGCATTTAACAACAACTAACATAAGAATGGCCATACTGAGTTATTCTAGCCCAGTATCCTGTCTGCTGACAGTGGCTAACACAAGATGCCCCAGAGGGAGGGATCACAACAAGTAATCCTCACATGAGCCCTCCTCTGTCTCCCACTTCCAGAGAAACACAGGCTAGGGATACATTCCTACCCATCCTGGTTAACAGCCACTGATGGACCTAATGTCCATGAATCTATCTAGCTCTTTTTTAAACCCTGTTAAAATTCTAGCCTTCCCTACATCCTCTGGCAAAGAGTTCCACAAGTTGAACTTTTCTTCACTGTGTGCTGAGTGAAGAAAAACGTCCTTTTGTTTGTTTTAAACCTGCTGCCTATTAATTTCATTTGGTGACACCTAGTTCTTATATTGTGGGAATAAATATCATAATTTTTCCTTATTCACTTTTTCCACACCAGTCATGATTTTATAGATGATTTTATCTATCATATTTCCCCGACATTATGTATCCACTAACAAAGAATCACCCATCTAAATCAGCAGCAATCTTTAATTAAACATTAAAATAAAATAAATCCTTTCCTACATTATGTTAAATAGTTCAGATACTCTCCACAAAGAGAAAAAACCCTTCATTTTCAAAATTCTGTAACCTTTACTTGCAAAGCAATATTATCATGCTTCAAACCACACAGCATATGTGAATTAATCAATTTACAAAGCATGACACAGAATATACAATAAAGTTCTTTCAACAATTACCTGGGGAGATATGCTATTAGCTGCAGTTGATTTCCATCAATTAATTGGTTGTTTGAAAGGTCTAACAATTTCAAGGTCTGTAGAACATTAATGGGTCTGTAGCATTAAAAAAAATGCAATTATGTTTTAAATAATTTCAAAATATTTACACTTATGTAGACACAATTATAATATAAAATCGAAGTGTTCACACGTAAGTGTCCCAAATAACACAGAATGTTAAAATCTGCACTGCAAGATTACAATGGTAATGGTAATTTAACCCATTACTGGAATTTAGTTTGATTTTTGTTATCAGACATGCCACATAACTTTATGCATACCGCATTTTCATCCCAAAAGGATGACTTTAGCATTTAAAGCTAAACCTCATACCTTTCTAAAACTGTAATATCATTAGAAGCAAGGTACAATTCTTCAAGTGCTGGCCACGCTGGAGCACACAGAAGAACCTAATAGGAAAACTTCATTTAGTGTAGCAGTATAACTTATATAGGTCAATCTGTGCATCATAAAAGTTTTACTGTGAGTGGGTTCTAAGTAACCATAAGCATCTCAAATAAACAACCTGGAATACTGCTTATTTCATTAACACTTTCTATTTAATAGTAATTATACTGCTGTTCCTGTTGCTCATCTGCTTGCACAAATGGAAGTCAATAGGATTTCACACGGCCACAGAATTCTCTGTTACTGGACTGGAATCCATATTTTAAAAAGAAAAGGCTGCAGGGAAACTGACAACACAGCCATGTAAACGGTAGCTTTAGGATACAGTGTCATCCCATCCTCTCCCTCTTTGTGAGCCTGTTAGGAAATTGGATTTTCATGTTTGGTTTATGGATTCAAGAATTTGGAACAATTCTGAGGCTAGCCAAACCAAGCTTTTTCTAAGATAAAGGACTTTGAAATGTCTCTGCTATTTTCTATGAAATCATGTCAAATTGGCTTAGCCTAGAAACCTCAAGATTACTTCGATAGCCCTGGTTAGGATCTAATGCACAAAATTATTTCTGACAAAGGCAGGTTTGATTTTAGGCCAAGATGATGTTAGGAAAATACCTACTGCTAAAGCACCTCATCTGCAACGGGTCATTTTTCTAGTGTACACAAGATATAAGACGAAGGTCACTAACTGGAAAAGCAATTTTCATGCCTGGAAACGTGCAAACAACTAAGACATTTTCCAATGCTGTATCTGAGTTCAGAGAAATATTCTCTGTTATACTACTGGATGTTTGTCAGCTCCTTTATAACACAAGCATATTAAAAACACTAACAATACAAAGTGATGCCAAAACTACACTACAGAACTACAGGCAGTCCCCGGGTTACGTACAAGATAGGGACTGTAGGTTTGTTCTTAAGTTGAATCTGTATGTAAGTCAGAACTGGCTCCAGCCACTGAATCTGGATGCCAGTTCTGACTTACATACAGATTCAACTTAAGAAACCCAGGCGTCCCCATGTCAGCTGCTGCTGAAACTGATCAGCGGCTGATTCCAGGAAGCCCGGGGCAGAGCAACTCTGCCTCGGGCTTCCTGTAGTCAGCGCTGGTC